TTATTCAGAACTATGCAATTGTGGCAAAATTAGTATGAATAATTTTGTCACTGTAGTTTCAAGTTATATGTAATTATCCGCAAATTTATATACATTTATCCACATATCCGCACGTATACTACATATCCGCAAATTACCGTCAGTTTGTATGCTCGGTTAATAATGTGCCACAGTGTGTATATTTCATTATCTCTGGGGGCGGTAAAGCTTGTTATCTCTATTTCTTGATCCTGCTCCTTTATTATGTTAATTAACATGGATTTTCGAAATGAATTTCTTGACTGAGAAATATCAGGTATCAAAGCTATCGCCGATGATAGGATAAGATTTTGCAGCGACGTAATGTCACGTTGTCGCAACATTATATTGTTACAACGTTAGTATAATTTTTATGATAAATGTTTCTATCACAAGGTGTCTACGTTTATCATGCTAGATTCTCGAGACGCAAAAGTAAACTCAAACAGTATTAACGAAATTGTGTTTGTGTGTGTCGCAAATTACGCCGAGATACCAAATTATATGTAAAAGCCTATTCGTTGACGTATATTAAAAGCAATGTGCTCCGCTAATGTGTTTACACAAATCACAAATCTTGTAAATGGTTATTATGCACGCAATACTGTAATCATGTGATAATTGCTCATATTAAAAATATTCATAGATTTACGATATGTTTATGATAATGCATGTTAATATCTTCATTCTTTTTAATAAAATGGTCTTATGTAAAAAATAAAACCGATTATTTCCAACGATATTATTTTCTCCACATTGTAGCGTTTCTCCTTGGAATTCATTGCATTGTGCTAGGGGCGCTACGTACACTTGGTCCATTAAAATTTACTTATAATCTCAGATATTCAGGGATGAAGGATGATGCACGCCCACGTCTCGCACTTGTTTCCATAGTGCCTCTTTGTGTCCATAACGGCGTAACCGTTCGGAGTTACCTCGGGTCAGCACCGTTTATCTTCCTCCCGTTTGCTTTTGCCATTAGGTTATCAAATCATCACGCTTCTATCGAGATTATCCGACATCCCAGATGAGCGATTAAGCACTTCGGTCACTCCATATATTAAAAGCAAGAGACACTACGCTACTATTCTGATTTGGACGTTCATTATTTGATGATTAATGCGCCGACTATTCTTCACATTGAAATTTCTCTCTATAACATTATGATACGTTCGATTATTCAATAATGTAAAGTTTTTATGCTAATTTACTGTGCATTCTGTGCAACAAAATACGATCCGACAGCAGTGGAAGTACCTTAACAGTTCGCACATCGTGAAAATTGATTTGTACTCATATTTATTGTACATGATTGCTATCATGAAATATATACAATTCGTGGCAATGTATGCAAGTAAAGCGCTGTTGTGAGATATTTAGAAAAATATTTTTGCGCCCTCTCACACGCGCTGCATTTTGCGTTTTGGTTTACATAACAGGTTGAGCATTTTTTTCGCGCCCCGAAATGTTATTTCAATTAATCAAATTCAACAGCTGAAAATAATACGTGAATAGACAGAGGCCGAATAGAGTGGTGGAAATAGCGGTAACTCTATCGGCCTATTCAGATCGCGTTTTATATCCTTCTTTTTTTTATATATTTTTTCGCTCACAAAAATAAAAATGTCGGTCCACGCCTGAGCGCACGAACGAATGCTGACCGTTCTAAAAGGAAATATTTTCCAAGCTGACTATTTCAACGGTTTGTAGCGATTCTACGAAAACTCGGACGAATATGGATGCGCCAAATTCACATTCGCTTTATCTCGTAAGCCACGCGCGCGGCTTTATCGCTATAAAACGGCGCCCATTCCGTCCGAAAAATAAATTTCTCGACCGTTTTCCCTCGACAAATGTCTAAACGCTCTTCTCTTTAACTAGAATTTTATTTCGTATTATTTAAATCGCATGACGTTCATGCGACATGATTCTTTTTTAGTCCCACTGACACGCGACGAGTACGATGAGCACGCGGTCGATTAAAGCTGACACTGACAGAAACCATTGTAAACGCTATTTCGCAACGTTAGTGCACGTCACACTACAGGCAACAGAATAGTTTCGACCGGTCCGAAAACTCATTAACTCATTCTTTTTTCGCGGCGCGATTATTATTTTGCGTCGCTCTCCGGCTCTCCTTGTTTAACGCGAACAGTTAACGTAATAGCTCCTGCGAGAAAAAGCAATTAAGGGAAAAGCAGCGACGATGGGATTAAAGCTTTTTGAATGAATCACGCGTACCAAACCGGACCGTGGAATAATGTGCGTGGAAGTAGTTCGGGGGGCAAGAGGTTTTTTCCGCGCGATTCAACAAATTGGCGCGTCGTTTTGGCCGTACCTGCGAGAAAAGCGTTTCACCGACCGTTCGACGAGAGGCAGGATCGAGCGAAACTGCCGCACCTCGTTCGCCCTCTCGTTCGAAAATAAAACAATGCACCGCGAACGAGTGCTGAAGTGGCGGCGCAAACGCTGCACGGACGACCGCCTAGCGCGACAAGAGGCCGGCGCGGTGATTGTGCGTGCATCATTTATATTGTTGTCACGGCACAATAATTCTATTTTCCCCGAGCGTCCCGATTAATCATTGGTGGGCCGCGTGATCACTCAGCGCTGTTTCGAATCTATTTCCACCGCTCGGTTCTCTAGAAGTGACAGCCCGGCGACGGCTATGATCCAACATTGATGGGCAACAGTAGCGCCGCTACGCGCTGAATAGAACTGGATCAAGGCGTTTGATTAATTTTGCGCATTGATACCCTCCGCGCTTTATGCGTCCTCGAAAATAGAGGAATCTTACAAACAATTAATTGCAACCGACGATAGAATATCTTGCTGTCGCGAGCGAAACTTTTTCAAGAAGCGCAGTTAGAAACTGACGATCCGACATTGAGCAGAGTCCAAAGTAGAAATGTATATATGCATTCTGATTACGGCATTCTCGTTCACTTAGCTGCTATTAACAGGCTATTTACCGATCCGTAATTACCATTCCGAGTGATTTGTGGGAGGATATGGTCCGCCGGCAATTTCATTCGCACTGTCTGTTCTTGATGGTACACATGTCAGCGAACACTCCACCGACTTGGGGCTCGCTCTCCTTGCTTGAATTCAATTTCCCTGAGTCCACAGCGGCGGATCGCAGGTGCGTCAAGTTGCTTCGGTCGGCAGAGATTGCATGTTAGTGGATGGAAAGAAAGTTGCCGTAGTTCTTGGCTTTTGATCGATACGAGAGACATCGGAGAGAAACTCCAACTTGATTTCTCGTTATTATCTCAGTTGATATTTAGATCCATCTCTTAAAATTCATTATTCTTGCATAATTTAATATTTATAATATTTGAATAATGAATATCTTCAAAATATGCACAAGTAAATTAAAGTATATTTTAAAAAATATTTTGCATAGCCTCTTCGTCGCAAAGTTTTTTACAATTTTCCACTAGCGTTCCATGACGTTACCGATCGCGGTATTAATTGAAAATCAGTCTCTCCGACGCAACATAGAATTTGTGGGGAAGCGAACACGGTCGAGGCGTCGGCAAGATGCGCTAAAACTGTCCAGCCAGTTCGTTTCGCGGCTCTGAGCCAAATACAGAAGGTTGAAGGTGTATCGATCTAGCAATTGTGTCGACGACCGCGTCGAGTAATCGCGATGGAGTCAATAATCCATGATCCGCTCAACTCGGGAACAGCTCTATTCCGACGTGTAATTGGGATCAGTGCTTATCTGTTGGCGCACACCGTGTTCCGGCCTCGAGCTCATCGTCCTTTTCACACATCCTTTACCTTCTTCCGACACTTTTACGCGCGTATGCGCACACTGCGGCAATATTTGCGCCGGAAATTAAAGCGCGGCAGACCAATCCGTTGTGATCCCTCTTGATTGATTTTCGTCGTTTAGCGCGAATATGGAAAAAAAAAGAAAAATCGTTAAACTCTTTTACGAGCACGTTAGACTCTTTTTATTTTTTTTTATCTGAAAATGTGTCATCTTAACGCGACAAATGACAGCGATCTCTACATACACGTCGCATATGACTCGTCTTGTCCGTGTGATACGACGTAAATAGCTTTGTTTAAATAATTCCTGCCTCCGCGAAAGGGATAGAAACGGTGCTCACAGCGCGCGGGACACGGGCGCGTTACAGAACGAGTATGTTCGCGGCGATGAACGCCAGAGCGTAATGATATTCAGAACTTGCAGCGAGAAAGCGGCGGTACGCTGTCGAGAAACGTGAACATTTCGGGATGGATACGGAGACACATTTCAGCGCACACACGTGCTAGCATTGCTCGCCCGGTGCGGCGGTGCAATGTGTCGCGCAAAACCAAACTGCTTCGCGTCAGTAAATTCTCGGCAGTATGCCGATACAGCGAAACGCCAAACGGAAATGAGTTACTTACAGTATGCGCGATGTCACGCGTCATTCGCCGGATTCTGAGTAAAGATCTTCTGGATACCGATGTTCCTCTTCAATTTCTGCCGAGTCACCGTACCTTTCGCCGAGTTGCACTTGAGTTTTCTTTGGAGAGGCGCGCGTTATTCGACAAGCAAATAATAAAATATTTATTTAAATTTATTTTAATTTAATTATGTAAAGTTGATTATATTTTTTCACGGTTGCGTTAATGCATAGGTAATTGCATTACGAAGGGATAAGTTTCATCAATCCTTTTTGCAAAGCGCAGGATTCAATATTCCGCTTTTGTCGCGCTAAAGGCATGCGTGATCATTCGGGGCGATCTATCCAATAGATAGATAATTTAAGTTTAATTGTACGAAACTCATTCCGTTCTTTGATATCGCACCGATCGTACGTAGTCATGTTGCACGACAGCGTGCAAATTCAGCATTACTGCTCGCAATAATCCCGCGCTTTCCTTTCGTTACACGTATACTTTAACAGCGTTGGAGCGCGGTCGAGTGATATAACGAAATGTTGTTAATGGGTCACTTAGCATTTAATGTCGTCCTGTTTCAGAGGGACCGAGCTTCACCGCGCCAATAACAAACGTGACGGTCCCAGTGGGAAGGGAAGCTATCCTCTCCTGCGTCGTCGCAAACCTTTCTACGTACAAGGTAAGCTGCCAGACACACACGTGTCATCTTTTAATCTTGCACTCGTGTCGATGCCGCAACACTTTACTTAAAAGTTGCGCGAATGACTTGCCAAAGAGATCTTTTCCCGCGGAAATACCGCGCGAGCGATACCGTTAAAACCCATTTATAAATGAATTTGAAAGCGATTTATTTGAGACAAAGTAATTTGTATTTATTCAATTAAAAAGAAGAAGAAAAAATTTGGATAAATTCATACCTTTGAGAGACTCGTGGTCGGGCTGAAACGAAGACAAACAAACTCTAATGCGGCGCAAAGCCCCGCAAAGTTTCTCAAAACAAAAAACCAAAAAAAAATGGAAAATCGTTATGCACTGATAAACAAAGTTTAATTTAGCTGCCAGTTACATCGTACATAGCCCGCGGACTTCATTGCCGCGAATGTATTCCTCGGCACGCTGCGGAAACGTGGACGTGCACGAATGGATTTCGCAGCGTGACAAACATCGTTCACCGTGAGTCTGCAAAGTCCGATGAATTAAAGTTCATTCATCATGTGGTAAAAATTTATCCTTGCCGCATCGCCATGCAACATATCCTTTGTTGTATCGCACGATGTAAATGCGGAAAGGAGAAATACGTATCGCAAACCGATGGAAGCGGAAAGATTTTTAACTATTTTCGCATCAATTCAACGTACACTTTTATCATTACACATTGTTGATACATTTGCCCGCCGTAGAAAAAAAATATTTTCATTGTGAAGTACGAGTATTTGACGCGATAGACGGCGGAATAAATTCCTGCGAAAGAAGTCGATTTAAAATTGGCCAAGGAATGCTTAAACGGAAGACGTAACGACGATTCTGACGCACTTTGTGTATTTCGAGAGATAGTATCATTGAAGTATTTTCCATACATTCTTCGCGCATTTCGTTTCCGCTAGCTCCGCCTTTCTTGAAAGTATATTGCAGGAATTCCATCCTTCGAACTTTTGGGGAACGTCAAATAATGCGTGTTTCACCATTACGTGAAAAACATTGGCCGAATTCCTACAATGTTCACATTCTCAAGGTGCTGCGAATTCCCGCCGCTGGATCACATATTTCGCTTTTCAGCGGCGCAGTTTTAGAAAATCACGCCAGTTTCTGTGTGGCGCGAGTATTGCGTTCTGCGAGGTGATACGGATGCGATATTAAACACGAGCGCGAAGTACACGCGCGTGTATGAATATGAAATAAATGTTTGTGCGACGTGATTTGATCATACGATAATACAATCAATAGTACGCTGTGATTGTATCAATCACTGGGAAAAATGTTGACGTTATTCTCGAGCATATTCTCAAACGAGTCGAAATTTTACGAAACATTCTTTGTACAAAGACAAAATAGTGAGAGAGATTTTAAAAAAAATTGAAGTAATCACACGTGAAGTGGAAAGACTTGGATAACGATTAGTTTGACAGACTTAGGACAGAAGCTTAGCTAAAGTACGTCAAGTTAAGCTAGGATATTGCGCAATTACGGCTCACAGAGGACGAAAAGCGTTCATATCGCGCTCTCGCGCTTCCTCCGTAGCTTACCTAATACCATAACGCCCGGAATAGCGTTTTAATCTCAAAATATATTATTCCGAAATTAAAGGGGTCCGACGAGGCGAGACGCTACTATGTGGTAAGGAGAGCTTGAAGATCGTCAGAAGAAAATTCACCGTCATTATGCGCGATTGTGCTGCAATTAGCCAAAATGATAATATTATGTTTCATTCATTACATAGCTGAAAAATCGATAAATAAAATTAGAAATAAAATGTAATTTTTGTATGTTGAAATAATTAATTTCGTTATATTATACCTACAATTATATCAACAAATTATATATCATATTATATCTACAAGTGAATTACATAGCGCATATGGATTATTTAATAGAATGAATTATTTTGATACATTGATAAAAATCTATCGCAAATATTTTGCCATGTTCTGTTAAATATTATAACACAATATTATCATTTTTCTTCAGGTCTTTTGCACGTGTAGAAAATATTTTCATGCGAGAGTACACTAAATCTTCCATATCTTCGTCGGATATTTAAAGCTGAAGTAACTATATACATTCCCGCCAGCGACGATTAAAACGTCTGCGCGTACAAAGGGCACATCTCGCGTTAACCGTCAAATTCCCGCAAACCCGTCTGGAACTTGCCTTACAAAGAGAACCCCATTCTCAGGCAATAATTTGACAACACAGCGGAGTCTTAAATGGGTAGCTTGGTGAAGATTTGCGGCGCCTTAAACGACGGTAAGCGGCGAAAGTTTACTGCATGCGGCGGGCGCTTGCAACTCCGCCTTCCTGTTCCTCCATGCGTCCACGAGACGAGAATCGGCTGACATTCCTTCCCGAGGTGCCCGAAATGCGAGAGCGTATCTTAGCCAACAAGAAAGGAAATTTATTTGGGAAATATATGCGATATATTCTCAAGCGAAGCGGAATACCGATGATCACCTTTTTCCATTCCGAACAAAGGCGCGCGCGAACTCATTACGGCGCGGCGAAGGATTTCTTTGAACTGAGCTGTTCTTTCCATCGCTTAACCGCCCAACGACTTTTGCATTGAAGCGAAATAAATCACCCACCGAGACCCTAATGATAGCGTGCGATAAAAAGTTGTTTCAGTTGTACGGCGCGGAGTGGCGTTTTTAAGAATTGACAAAATTCTGATTCCAGCTCTGATGCGGAATCACGTTCTTGTTGAATCACGTTATCCCGCGATACTCGAATCCTCGAAAGCCCCGAAGAATCATTTATAACCGCCCTGCGGACAACAAGCGTGACGTAAGAATAATATATTCTAATATGTCAAGACGGCGCCACGTCACGTAATACCCTAATGTAATTTTGCGTCACGTATTACGCTGTGTGGTCGGCTAAATTTCGCCGCAAACAAGTTCGCTTGTG